AGCGGCTTTCCCTCGCATTGTATGCAGCAGCAAAACATGCGGTAGGATAGTGGAAGGAATGTGCACCGAAACTACTATCTCCGATGTGAACTTGCCCCAAGAGAGAGGACATGTACCAGACGGACCCCAACCCACGAAATTTCAGCATCGCGATTAGTCGCCCAAGGGCTGAGGATGTGTCTTGTGTTGGCACATCGCTGGGTGGTGATGGGGCAGTACCGAAGCAGCCAGGTTCCTTGGTTCTAATGGGTATGCCATGTGCAACATCTATGCAAACGCATACCTTCAAAGAGATAGTTGACTCTCTTTACCCAAGCATCCAGAAGGTTACAGAAGAAGCAATAAGGAGGAATCTTTTCCGTGAGGTGGAATTGATGATGGAAGATGTAGCAGGAACATTTAGCTATGAGGAGTGGGAGTCCTGCATAAACACTTTGTCCGGAAAGAAAACTGTATGGCTTCTCCACAACGACCGCACGACAAATTGTCTTCAATGAAATGACAAAGGTTCTCAGTCTCAACTATATTGCGAGTAGTGAGAATCTTCACTGGTACATTTTCAGTTGTTTCCTTCGCAGTGGAAGGAGAATCTACCTCGTGAACAGTAGTTGTGACCTCTAACTGTTGCTTCTGTGCTGGGGCACCCCTATCCAAACCTTCTCTTACGTTCCATGTAATCGTTGCTTGGGTTGATGAAGGTCGCTTGCGATCATAGCGATTCAAACCAGCCTCTAGTTTCCTTCTCTCAAGAGATGACCTTCCTTTCTGTTCCTCATTGAGACATCCTAGAAGCTCATCAACTGTAAGCGGTGGTCCTTTGCTTCTCAGTTTCCTTGTACCATGGACGGGCGTCACACGGGGAAGCTCACCACCGTCGGTCTTCTCCTCCTGGGAGCTCATTGCTTCAATGAGCAACCATGAACTATCTACCAGCTATGCAGCTACAATACACTAAGTGACGATCAATCCAACCAACAGCTTCAACATGACATGTCCATACACGTACTAGATTTGCTTTTCGATTGGTCTTCACTCAACCACGTTACATTACAAACCTCGGTATGCTCGTGAAATCTCATTGGATAAACCATGGCGTTGGAAACCTGGCTGGCAGCGTTTGAGTATTGGAAAATCATGTGTGCCGAACGCGAGATTCCCTATTCCACATGATGTGCCTTCGAGCTTCGAGCTCCTCAAAATACTGGTTGGGGCACCTCTCCGAGGCAATGCGTCTGTCCGTCCATCGGAAGGTAGGTATACATCCTTAATGCTCTGATAGATCAGTAACCTTTTACTACTTTCAAGAACCCCTTTTGAGAATCGAATCAGCTTGGGGAAGCGGATTTCGAACTGCGTATAGGCACGGTACCAGTACCTGCAGTGCCAGTAGCGGTATCAGAATATGTAATAGTTGCGTGGGAACAGTGCAGTCGAGAGTCAGTCGAGTCGAGGAAGGGACCTTCGCTACATGCATATAATATGTATCGTAGCTGGTGCTTGTCTTGACAAACTGGTGGTTCGAGGAACACTCACGACAAATGCTGATTCAAACCTAATGACCCTGCTCTAACTCATATAGCATATAACTAATTAACATTGAATCTCGGACAATGTCGGAGTTCTGGTTGTCGGCTTTGGAGTGCGCTTGTACTGTAGGATAATGTGGGAAGTTTAGTACCAGTGTCAATGAATATCGGGAAACTTTCGTCATTTATTAAAGAAAGCTAACTGGGAGGTCATTAGTGTTGAGTGGTTGACAGTGGTGAGCATTGGCTTCATGATTCATGATAGCTGCTTCATGACTGAAAGCAATGGTTAGCATGGGATGGCATTGATTTATTTCTCCACCCCTTGGGGACCATCACCCCACCCCTGCTTGGCTGGCTGGCTGGGTGGCTTCTTCTTCTTTGTAACAGAAACCGCCATGGACATGGTGTAGCAGCCAGGCAGGCAGGCAGATACAAGGTACTACACAATCATGCCTTTTAAAATGGCAAGCTAGACTGTCTGATGGGTACTACTATAATAGCTAGCTAGCTAGTACATGTAGACGGCAAATTTCATTCAACGTCGTATTTTTTTAAAAAGATCCGACCGGCGCTGTCTTTGAGGGCTCTCGTGTCTCGAGTCTTGAGAGTGTCTTGAGAATGGTGTTGGTTTCTGTTCCGTCATTTGATAGAACGTGCAATCATGGAAGAAATCGGTCCGTCTTTTTAACAAAACCGGATGCTGGTCATTCTATTTTGCGGACACTTGAGCACCAAGTCTTGAGAGTATTAGAAGTAGGATATAATGCAGATGTATTGAAGCATTCGGTGCAAAAGAGCCTCTGTCTGTGAATGACTCGTGAGTATTGAAGAGGACTTAGTAGCTGTTGATAGTGTGATTATTATACTGTAGTGGGTTACGGTACCGAAAGTGCATATACATCTTGGTAGCCAGAGCGGGTCTACGGAGAAATAGTAGGAATGCCATTGTCTGATGTCAGTCATTTTTGATAATTCAATTCTTCATTCTCTACTGTATTCCAGTGACTCACATCATTAAAGCCATTAATTTAGGTTTTGGCCACTTTCGGCACTTTCGTACTTACTTGAGCGAGCGATGACAGCCAGTGACAAAGTCAGTGATGCCAGCGGTCTTGTTTTTATGGAGTCCAACGGATGTCTCTGTACAGCTACGTACAGTACCGTAGCAATTGCAATTGGTAGCGTACCCGCAGATGATGTCGGTATTCGGTAGCCACAGTAAATTCTTTGAAAGTCACACTGAAACCAAAAACCAAAAACCAAAACCACACAATCATCAAAATTTGATCAAAGCTATCATAGTAGTAGAAGACAAAGCCAAGAAGGTCTCCTCCTCCATCCTTTACTTCTACAGATTAGAATACTGTCATTATCACTATTATCCACCAGATAACCCTCAGATACCCCTCTCATCTCAGATACCCCCATCTGCTACCCAAGAAAGCTTAATAGCTACAGTAGCTACCCCTGCTACCCATTTGCTGTTGATTATCTTGTGGTTGGGTATCTCGGTTATCTATTTGATTATCTGTTTGGTTATCTTGGGTATATACCCTCTGTATACCCCATCCCATTACAGTATTATCATTAGTAAAAGCTTGGAATGTACGACACGAGCAAGATGGTGAGCCATGAAAGTTCCTTTCTTCCCAATGCCTACCAGAGTGCTGCCAACAACGGCAATTCTGCTACCAGTACCAATTCTACTACTACTACTACTACTACTACTAGTAGTACAAAAAAGAAGAAGAAACGAGGTGTGCGTCGATCGGTGAGTTTCAATGAAGCCGGTCCTACCATTCAACGAATTGACTCGGTACGATGTCTACTACTACTAGCAGCCGACAACGACAACAGCAACACGGACAATGAAGAAGAAATGGAAGCCAATTTTTTGAATGAGATTTGGTACGACAAGATGGAAATTGCATCGCAAAAAGAAGAAAATGCCGAATTGGTCTTGGAGCTCGACAACAAAAATAATGGAGATGATGATACTAATAATAATAAGGAAGAACCCCACGATGCGACCTTACGTGGTCTGGAACGTCAAACGGAAGAAGGATCGTGGCAAGCCTTTCAAAATCGCAACAAGGCACTAGAAGCCGTGCTAGATACCAAACCGCAAAATGACGAAGAATTGGCCAGTTTGTCCAGTCAAGCCACGCAAGATGCCAAGCGAGTCGCACAGCAACGGGCTTTGCAAGATGAAAAGGAAGCACAGGAGTATTTGCAAGATGTACGCACTTCGATTCTCAATGGAAGCATTCATAGTATGCTTTCCATGGGAACCGCTGAAGGCGGAGGAAGTGCCCATAGTATGCCCCTTTTGTCCATGGAGGATCTTCATGATAATGATGACACGGACGATGATGATGATGATGCTACCTTTGCATCGGAAAGTGATGGGGAAGCATCCTTGGGATTTGAAGATACAGCAGTTGCAGACAATAAACCAACCAAGAAACAAGGCAAAACAAAAGTCAAAAAGAAGGTACAACGAGTCAAGTCATTGCCTTCACCCAACATACCCGCATTGGGCGATGCACACCATGATGATGACGATGAGGAAGATTCCATACTCTCACCCTTTGCCAGTGGAGCCAAAAAGTTGAGAGATGCACGAAAACGATTGTCGGCCGAAACACCCAACAAAAAGAAAAAAGCCATGGAATTGGGACACAAAAGTGACACGGCACTCATGGATGATGACAGCAGCAGCAGCAACAGTGACAATACTCCACAACCAACGTCCTTTTCCAGTCTCAAAAATAAGACGACTACCATGAGAAGGGCCAAATCACTCGGGACTGCTACTTCCACCAAAGAAAAAGACTGTCTCGCCACCACCAAAAAGAAAAAGACTGCTACCAAAAAGACCAAAACAACAGCATCCAAAACAACCACAACAACAACAACCAACAGCGACGCGTCGCCACTGACACGTCTGCAACGATGCAAATCCGCTCCCATGCCAAAGGCACCCACGCCTGCAGAAGAAATAGCCGCATTGCTCTCCGATGTCAGCAACACCAGTGAAAATGAACAACAAGGACCCATGATGGATGATGATAGTTCTCGAACGTCGATTCGAATTCGGGTCTCCAAAATGAATCAAAATCCAACACCACCCCCGTTTGACTTTTCCAAAAAGAAAACAACAACAAGAACAAAGGCACAACAATCATCACAACGAGCTTCGCTTCCTGCCACGGCATTGTATCAATGGAAGGATCACTTTCCCAAGGGCAGCACTACTACAAATAGCAATAGTAGTGACAGTGACGAAGAAGACCCCAAAATGTCCGTTTCGGCTTCGGCTGCCGATTATCAATGGCAAGAACACAGTGAAGAACAACGGGACGACAACACGGCCAAACAAGTATCATCATCATCATCGGCCAAATCGTTACAACTACTGCAACAAGAACAAGCCAAACTCAATGCCAAAAAGGCCAAAATGGAAGCCTATGCCAAAAAACATCATGACGATGATGACAACAACAACAACAACAACAACAACAAGGAAGAAGAACCACCACCAAAACGCGTGCTGCCAATGGATAATTTCAATATTGATCCCAGCATGTTGCCACGACGGAAAAATAAAAAGTCGCCGGGATTGAAACGATCCAATACACTCGAGGGAGACAAACCGAAACAACAACGTGCTGGTACGCTGGATCGGCCCAAAGCCCCCCGGAGAACCAAGAGTGCTGCCAGCAAAAAAGCAATGCTCGGGGGTGAAATGCCTCTGCGATCCAAGAGTCAAGGGAAAAAGGGGGGTCTCTCGGGTGGTCTGGCCAAGTTTGTCATGAAGACGCAACAAATCGAACAAAAACGAGAAGCAACCCAAGTGACAAAACAACCAGAGGATTCTTCTGATGACGATGACGATGAGGAGGAGAATGTTCCCAAGAACAAACTTGGCACTGCCAAGAAGGACGTGGCATTGCCCAAGAAACTGGAAAAGCAACAAGAGACGGAGGCGAAACAGCCAGCCGTACTAGACGCTGGAGGCGGCGAGAGTGACGACGACGACGAAAGCGACTGTGATTCTCCCGACGAAGATGCACCGACTCGACGGAGTACGTTCACGGGGAGTCTAGCGTGTATCGTGACGGGCGATTACGCGGCCGCCGAAAATGACAAGAAGGAGGAACCCCAACAGCGAGCATCCACGGGGAGCATTCCCAAGACAAAGAAAGCAGAGTCGACGACAGAAGAAAACACGGCCCCAAAGAGCAGAGCCGTGCCTGCCAGGAGCAAGTCTGCTTCGAAGAAAGCTATGCTGCTGCCATCCAATGGAAGCCGCACGGGAGGTAGGAAGCTTCCGGAGAGATCCAGCTCCATGGGCAATCCAGCGTCGGCCAAACGAAATAAATTTCCAAGTAACGGCAAGAGAGCTTCCGTTCAGCGGATTCCGCGTCGCAAGGGAGCAGCGACTGGTTCGGAAGACTCGGAACCTCTGTCTAGAGCCAGTTCGAGCGTCAACTAGGTAGCTAGAAGTCATAACCACAGTGCGAAGAACAGCTTTCTTCGCCCCGATGCTACACGGACAAAACTACAAATTTGCAACTGCACACATCAACTAGCTAGTTAGTGCCGGTACAACGTCTTCAGCGCCACTCTAGCTATGATAGCTATTTGAAGAACATTAGTAAGTTTCTCGACTCCACGGGCTCGGTTCAGAGTCACCGTGGATCAACTATCCACGACATGCTGGAGTGGACCACAGACAGACGTCGCATCAATCAAGAACACTCTCGGATGGATATCTCTTCCCCTCTAGCTAGCTAGAGTCTTCCCCCCCTTGATCCTTCTTGCCGATCAAGGACTCCATGATATCGACCCAATGCCGGGAGCTATTACGTGTACTAGTAGGCAGAAGCCATTGAGAACAAAAGAACCGCAAAGCGCTATGAGATGGTTGCGCTGGCCAGGTGTCAATAACCTCAGCCTTAATATACCAGTATGATATCTTTGTTGCAACCGTATCTTCCGATTTCCGATACCAGCTAGCTAGCATGTCATTGGTCATTTTGTGTTCAGTAGGAAAAACCAGCGAGGACCAGGTTTCTGATTAGGCAAAGAAGTCATTGCACAGAGGATCCATGCATGCACTACCTCCTCGTCGATCGAGCATGCAAACTGCATGTACGTACTCATAGGAACCAAAAGAGCCCATGAAGGTTGTCTTTGAACAGTTGGTTACAGTGCTGCGACAGATTTGAATTGCTCTTACAATCACCATGGACCCCGACGCCAAGGGCTCTCGTACTGATCAAGATGACACACCATTTGAAGATGACACACCAGTCACCAGTGAGGATCAGGATGAAACAGAAACCGGTGACTGCAACACTTGCATTTTTGGTATGGTTGCTCTTGCTATCTGTGCTGCAGTGATTTCAGTGATTGTGGTTGTGGGTGTGGCCGCCACCGGCGATACCGTATATGTTGAGGTCTTTGGAACTACCTTTGATGTAGCCACAACTACTGAAATCAGTGTTACCGATCAAAATTCTTTGCGTGACTCCAGAGGAACGATTCCAACGGAGATTGGTTTATTCACCTCATTGACTACGTTGGCGTTGCATAACGCAAAATTGTTGTTCCAGTTGAGCGGATCCATTCCTTCGGAAATTGGATTATTGACCTCATTGACTTGGTTGTGGTTGCAAAACGACCAGTTGACCGGTACCATTCCTTCGGAAATTGGATTGTTGACCACATTGACCAGGTTGACTTTGATTAACAGCACATTGAGTGAAAGTATCCCTTCTGAGATTGGATACTTGACTGCGATGAATCAGTTGTGGTTGTTTGGTAACCAGTTGAATGGTCGCATTCCTTCCCAGATTGGATTATTGACTTCAATTACTTCCTTGTCGGTGTACAACAACCAGTTGAGCGGAAACGTTCCAACGGAGATTGGATTGATCAGCAAATTGAATAGGTTATGGTTGTATGACAACCAGTTGAGTGGCAGTGTGCCCAGCAGTCTTTGTTCCAACCTACCACATTTGTTTGACGCAAAAGTCGACTGTGCTGAAGATCCCTTTCCTGTGGAATGCACATGCATCGGATGTAAATGTGCCTAGTGTCACTCACTTTCTTCTTTTAAAATGAGTTAATAAGAATATGCATTACTACAGTACATGCACTACCACCACCACTACTCCAAGAGAACTCAACGTCTATTAATTAACGCATTCAGGCAAGAAGTGCTCTTAAAAGGATGACCCAGGAGCTGAGGTCCAGGTGTTTCCCACAGTCAAGTCTGTTTACCAGCCATTCTAGCCTCCTGAGAGGGTGTGACGCCTTTTAGTTATATCTAAAGGTTTGTACACTGAGGTCTCAGCTAGTGCTCCCATGCCAAAGTGCCAAGTACTGATGTTGAAGAGAGTGGGAGTAGTAGCTACCTGGTAGCCATATCAAGAGTACAGTAGTTTGCTCGATCAACTTGAAGGCAACGTCTATCCTTCCGGAATAAAAATAGTCTGTGCAGCGGTCTGCAGCGTGGCTTGGCGCCTGGTACGAAACGGGAAAACAGTTGCCATTCCAGATCGTTCCAGTATCGAGGTTATTCTTTTACGTGGTTGCAACGTATTTAAAGAGTACTACAAGCTAGCTAGTAGCTGGGTTGGGCCCTGGTCTGGTACCGGTACGGTATACCGCTCCTGTTGTACCGATACCATGATCACCTCATCCTTAATCTGAATCTTTGTTGAAACGGTATCTTTCCCATCACGCCAAGATGCCTCCCAAGATCCAAGATATCCCTCGACTCGATGATAGTTTTGACCTCCCAAAAACAATAATGAGAGCCAACTGTAATCCATGTACAACATGCGTCCTGCATCCGAAGGGTCTCCGTATTCTCCTCCTCTATTTGTGGCTCAGCCTTACGTGTCTTCCAGGTCCTGCAAGAGCGTTTACCAGTTTTCCACGGCGTGTTTTGCAGTCTCCAAGAAGCAGTCGTGGTGATGACAGGACCAATGCTGCTGGTGCTGCTGCTGGCAGTAACGAGGAGGAGGAAGACGTGGATCCAGATTTAATGGGAGTTCGTGTGGACGGGTATCCGATCCCCGCTACCCCGTGTCGACCAGACGACGCCGCACTCTTGGCCAAGCTTTACAACGTTCCTGGACAGGATACGCTCTTTACGACAAATAGCCGTAAACAGCAACGACGACGTGCTCTGAGTAGTGATGATCCGCTGTGCGTCATTGTGGCAGGAGGTGGACTGGGTGGACTGGCCGTGGCGTCGGCACTCTTACGGCAAGGTGTCAATGTGCACGTGTTGGAACAGGCGGTGGCGTATCAACCCTTTGGAGGTCCCATTCAGTTGCAAAGCAATGCGCTTTGGGCGTTGCAGCAAATGGCACCGGAACTGTACGAAGCCGTGCGAGATTGTGGTGTCCAAACGGGAGATCGATTGTCCGGAATTAAAGATGGCAAGCAATGGCAAGAAGGCTGGTTGGTCAAGTTTGATGCTGCCACTCCGGCACGCAAAAAGGGACTCCCCTTGACATTGGCCATTAATCGAGTCGTCTTGCAAGAAATATTCCTCAAGTATGGAGTCCCTCCCGAACGGGTGCACACCAATGCCCGTGTCATGTCCTACGATACCTATGACGACAATGACGTCAATGACGACAATGATGATGAGTATGGTGTCACGGTCCATTTGGAGGATGGGAGGACCATCCACGGAGGTGTTCTGGTAGGAGCGGATGGCATTTGGTCTCGCGTCCGACATCAAATGTGTGGATTGCCACCCGCAGAAGTGGGCATCCGATATGCGACCCAACATGCCATTTACAGTGGCTATACCTGCTTTACCGGAACCTGTCAGCATATCCCAGACGATATTGATACCGTGGCATACAAGGTGTTTCTGGGACAACAACAATATTTGGGATGTACCGATGCCGGATATGGATGGCAACACTGGTGGGCCTTTTTGCCCGATGAACCCATCATGGCTATGGACAAACGCAGCAATAAACAACACAACAATATTGATAATGGACAGGCTATGTTGGAACGGCTGAAACGAGAATTCCGAGACTGGAGTCCTGAAATTCACGACCTCTTTCAGGCCACACAACCACAAGTCGTACGACAACGAGATTTATTTGATCGAAAACCCATGTGGCCATGGACGGACAGCAAGAACAATAAGCATGTCGTCTTATTGGGAGATGCCTGTCATCCCACCATGCCCAATCTGGGACAAGGTGGAGCCATGGCCATGGAAGATGCCTACGTGCTGGCACTGGAATTGGCAGACGGCATTGCCCACACGGACGAAATTCCAAAACGATTGGAACGATACGCGAAACGACGTTTTGTTCGGGCATCCATGGCGCAGTTTCTCAGCCGCAATGGAAGTGATTTGCTCGTCGATTGGGACAAATTACGACAGACACCCATTGTGGGACCACTCGCCATGGGGTGTATCAATTTCTTGCAGCCCATTTCCATGAATTATCTCTATTCGGCAGATATATAGCTAGCTATCATATACTACCTAGGAAAGAAGCAGCAATACACAGGCGTGGAAAAATGACAAGAAAGAATCAAAGGCTGAGAGAGGTGGCTGCAATGACGAATGACCACACTGGACCAAAGAGGGGTTCTCCATCGACGTACGGTGCATTTCCACCGCCACAGTTGCCTCTCCCAAAACAATGTCTTCATTTCTCAGCTACCTGCGGTACGACAGCCATGGTACACACAGGTGAACGTCAATGCCTGCTTGGTTCCAGGATTGATTGTACCCCCCTGAATGCGTGCCGGTGCGTGTACCAGAACTGGTAGCTGTCTGTAGTACTCTTCAGCACCAAGGTCCCGAAACCGGATTCATTGCATTAGTTTCACGCTCCCCATGCAGGCGTACCGGTACAGGTAGGTTTCGCGGCATCTCGCCATTTTCCGCAGGCTCCAGGTAGCACTCTTCAGATAGCGTACCGGTACCGGTACGATATGGGTGGACTGGGCATGGCACACGCCGTCTCCTAATCAAACCCCACCAAATAAAACCTACTGTACTTACTTGCTCCACCCCCGTTTAACCCATCCTCATCACCTGGCCTGCCTAGAGCTAGCTAGCTAGTAGACTACCGGTAGTAGACTAGAATAGATGCACTGATCTTCTCCATCCCAGCAGGCACTAGTTTTGTACTATGAGTCCCCATGATTTCTGCGAAAAGTACCGTAAAAGTACAGACTCGACGTGAGGGCATGACCCTGGATTTGGTGTGTACCGGTACTGGTACCTGGTAGATCCCGGGATGTAAGACAGAAGGAAGGGGTTACCGAAATGATCGACATCAGTTAATAAATCTTTTCCTTAGTATTCTCATTGGACTTCAAATTATGATTTAAATATACTATGAGAAAGCCGGGAAGTACGACATCAGCGACCATATCTATACCAGTATTTACCGGTACGGGTCCGATTCTTTGTCATCCATTGCGGATCGGAGGGCTACTGATTTTTCAATACATGTGGCAAAGTTAAAAATTAGTTGCCCAGGTATGTCCAGGTTCATCTGAGAGTGGTGTGTCCAGGTTCCTCTGGGGAATGCTATGATGTGCAGGTGCAGGTTCATCTGAAAGTTGTTATAGCAGCTAGCAACGATTGGGTACAATGTTACAGTACTACATGTATGCTGTTAAAGCGGACCATGTGTGGGAATGCACTTGCTCCCTCGAGGCTCTGAGACTGGTGTGTCCAGGTTCTTGTGTGTTGTGTCTCAGCAGCTGTCCCAGCAGCTGTCGTCGTCCCATCCAGCACGCAGCCTCGAATCGTCGGTCCGAGTTTGGGTGTCTTTTTCATACCGTTGATGGGAGTCCATTCGGTCACAGTTGCTATATCTTTTTGTTTCGTGGAGTCTAAGTCTTTGTGTGACGATGGCTACTCGATCTTACTCGTGCAACATCTGTACCGGTACACTGGAAAGAAACTGGATGCCTGACCGGAGGAACAAAGTGCACAGGGAAAGAACATTGCTCGACATGTTCTGGTATGGGTCCAATGATCTTTCACCAAACCTTTCAAGTCTCTCACAAAATCAAAGAGCCAATCCAAAAACCAACAATCACAAAAAGTTCTCTCAGATTCACCACCAAAAGGCCAACAAACAAAGATGAAGTTCTCAACTTACTTGTCCTATTTCGTCCCCCTTCTTGTCGCCAAGATTGTCTCTGGGACCACCTTTGCTTCAGCTCTGACAATGACACAGATTCGTGGCGGCGCCCAAACTACCACGAGAGGAGTGCCACCTATGGGATTTGGAAGAAGGGCCATCAGCACACAACACCGAGCCGCGTTCATCCCCATCGCTGACGGGGAACCAATTCCTGCGGCTCCTGATGCCCCCGAACAGCAGAAGAAACGTTGGTGGGGCAAGGTCCGAGACTCAATGACAGTACGAGATGGCAGTGGTCTCACTCTCAAGGAAAAGATGGCCAAACAGGGATTCGCGGCCCTTGTCAATATGATTTTCGTGAATAACTTGACCAGCATTTCGTTCTTGTCGTTTGCCTGGTACGGGTTCTCGGTGCAAACCGGACTCAGTCCGTTGTGCCCGGGGCAATGGAAACCCTTCTTGGCTGTCTTTTCCGGTTTCATGGCCATGGATGTCATGCTAAAGCCGGTCAAGATCGCTACGGCAATTGCGGCCGTCCCCTTGGCAGACCGGGCCATTGGCTGGTTGAAGCGCAAGTGCGGAGGCTCCAAGAGTCTCACCATGGGACTCGTCCTGGCCTGGATCACCGTGTCGGCTTTTGGAATGCTGGGTGGAGGGGTTACCTTGGCTAGCACTCTTTCGGGCGTACCAATCTTTGCACCCTAAGTCGCCTCGACTGGACTCGACTCGGGCAGCCCGCGAACAGCAGCAGCAGCGGCGGCCAGATACGGTTATGCTCGGGAACAAAAAGTTGTACTAGTAGATTATTTGAATGCATAGATAAAGTCAAAGTAACAAAAGGACGAAAGACAATTAGAAATTCATCATACATGTATACGGTAGGAGAGTGTTGCAAGGGGGCGAAGTGAGTTCGATTCCGTGATACTCCCGCAAATAGTCACTGTTGGACTCGAATCCGTCGTTTTCGGATCCGGATCCCGACTACCCTGATCTTTCTCCTCGGCACTTCAAGGCAGGTCAGAAAGCTGCTCTAGCGTTGCTAGTTGAATGCGGCATCCAGACTGTACGCACTGCAATCGCAGCGAGGCTTTGTGTAGACACCGAGACAATAATCCATGGTGCGGTCCCAAAAAGGCAAGCAAAATGAAACTATTGTCACTCCCGGGCTCAGAGACTATCCAGCACGCAGCTGCATGATAATTAATTAAGATTGTCGTCCAGATTCCGCAACACTTGAGAGGGTTGTTGATGCTGCAGCAGTTCAGATGAAATCATGCCAAAATGTGATGCTCTTCCGGGAAACATTTCTGAAGATCTGTGCATAAAATTTCTGGAGCTTAAGATTGACACAGAGCGTGTCAATGATTCCCTCCCTGTTTGCTTATTCCAAAGTGGCAAAAACAAGGGACCCAGAATTGCTGCACAAAGCCAAAAGATGAGGACTGCCTTGGCAAGAAACAAACCAGTTGGATTGCTTTGAACAACCAACAAAATGGGTATCCCGAGCAAGCAAGCCTCCATGAGGAAAAACATGGAAAAAGCTATTCTCCTGGTTTCATTAACATGGCTTGGTAGCTTCCGGCCCTTGAAGCTTTCCCAGTTTGCTAGGGCCAAGGCAACAAAGTTGATTACAAACAGGAGGGCTCCAAAGGCATTCCCAAGTGTTTCATTGCTGCTGGAACAGACAGCATAGCTTGCAATGGTTCTATTGAATTCATCTCGAGAGTGCTCCGGCTCACGGCGATCCCACACACAAGGATCCACAACCGTCCATACAACAAGAACAACCAAATTGAGAGACACCATGATGATGAGTGGATACATGACATCTTTCACCCCAATGGTCACTCTCCTGAATTGGCATGCCCCTTGCTGTAGCTTGTTGATGCGGTAGAGCTTGCAGTAGAGGGCGGAAAATGAAACACAAAATCCAATGCATACCAGGTAAAGTTGAGACATGCACGCTATGTCCAGGCTTGATTCTGGGATGGGCTCTTGGAGTGACATTGGAAGAATGGCAGTAGCCATGAGCAAGCATCCACTGGAGATCATCATGAGAAAGGCTGGTTGGGCAGCTGCAACTGCCTGCTTTGTCCGGTAGTGTTGAGAAAATGCAATACAGCAGGCAGAGAGGATGATGATGAATGTCATCAGTCCCCACCCAAAGGCTTGGATTCCTCTGGGGATTAAGTTCATATCGACATCCACATGGGGCAGGGCTGGAGGAGTTGTTGTGGTGTTATCTGTGTAGACATAGGGCCCCAGACCTAGATCGACTACCTGGGAAGGAAATTCGATTGCTGTTCGTGTAGTGGCATCGAAACGGATTCTTCCCGGTGTGACTTGTTGGTCATCATTGGCAATGACAATGTTTGTAATGGCATATCCAAGCCCAAGTAGATCTCTGGTCCCAGTGAAATTATTGTAGGTGACATAACCTGTGGCTCCATGGAATGTTTGTTGTCGTATACCGTGCAGGAGTTGCTCTGGTGAGAAGAAACGCTCGGGTTGCTGACATGCGGCCAAGCCCACTGAGATGACAGCATCATATGTCATTCCAACAAAAATGGAAGGTTTCATTGTCTCAAAAAAATCGCGTTCTTTGAAAAAGTGATGTAGGTTGGGTTGATGAGCAGCCACAAAGTCCTCTTGGAGCTGTTGATTGGTACGAAAGTCGTGTTCCATGATCTGTTGAAGGTTGGGGTGAATGTCTATGCCAGGAAGAATGACTCCAACCCCATTGATGGCTTTGGCAATATCTGATTTTGTTGCACGATCAACAGTGTAGTCTCCAGAAGTCAAGTAAGATGAACCATCCCCAAGAAGCCATGTATACCCAGGATGACCCATGATGCCCATTTTGTACGCTTCCCGGAACACTGTTTCACTTAGATCTGTGTAGATAATGGCGAAAAAGTACCGGACCTGCGTGGACCTGAGATACTGCAGCCCCTCTTTGAGTGATTGGTCATCACCCGCTTCATAGGCTGTGAAATATATTTCAATGCCATGCTCTGCCGCCGCAGTAATGACAGCTTTCCCAAAGGAACTGCCATAAACATCGCGCATAAAGATGCATCCAAAATGTGTGACACCAAGGGACTTGTAGTATATCATGAGTGCCTCTGCATCTGCCTGGTTGGTTGGGTATGTTCGTGAGAAATACGGAGCTGCCATCTTGTTATCGAGATCTGTGGCAGACGATGATCCCGAGATTTGAGGTATTTGATAAATGCCTGCCAAATTGGCCACTGCCAAGGATATTGCGCTGGCATCTGCCCCAATAATGGCAGTAGGCCTTGGCTTCCACTGATCGAATGAGTAACGGTATGTGTGCCCTGGCTTCATATCTGGTCGAGTAGCCACTTGTTGGACTGTCTTGAGAGCCACCAGTCTGTTGTATTGCGCATCTGCCATTTCATACGTGAATTTGATGTCGCACCCCTTCATCCGTTCGGCCAGATCGGGCACAATGGAAGAATTCCGTTCATTGAGATGCATTGCCGCCACAAATCCAGCAGCCTCGTGGGTTATCTGTGACATGCTCATGTATCTTTTGGGTTCTTGGTCTGGGAGAGGACCGGTGAGGGTCATGAGACTGACCAGGTGGGCATTCCGATAGGTAGCATTTGTGGCTGGGTCAAAGACTTCTACTATCTCCGACCTTGTACCATTGCTCGCTACTACAGGTACAGGTACAGGTACAGACAGTACCACCACACTCTTATTAGAAGACAAGGTATTAATAGAAGACAAGGGCGACATCCTTTGTAAGCAAGCAATCAACACTCCCTTGATACTCGCACTGCTGTGTTATACTCGCAATGGGTATTAGCTACTCAAGCAGAGAACAACTTTTGTACTTTTGTTGTGGTGCTGCAAACTACCGTTGAGTAATTATTGGCTGGTTCGACAACCCTGTTTCGCTGGTTCTTAGACTTTATTCCCATTACTCTCTGAGAAAGGGTTCGATTTCTCGAGGTTATGTCATAGATGCTCCACATGTCGGTCGATAAGATTACTCCGATCCGTTAAACCGTAAAACCGTGCTCTAGGACCCTAAAGGATTATTTCCCCGGAAACGTGGCTCCTAATTACTTTACTGAAAGTTAATTCCCGCACAGTACTGAGTATTTACTTCTGTCCAATTTCGCCCAGGAAGTTTTGGGTTCGTTGGAACCTTCGTCGTGAACGCAGGTGCGCTGCGACGCTGAGGCTAAGTCTGCGGTCTGCGAAGCCATGCATGCATCGCACCCTAGTTGGATTCAAGACCCAAAACTTTTGCCTGTCTTGGGCCAATTTCAACCCAGTAGTCGGGTGAAGCCAAGCTAGGCCATATTATGGAGCTGTTTTACTCATGCTATGCTAAGCCTGCACTGTTCCCAAAGGTATGTAGCGGAGGCTTCAAACAAATGTGGCAGTGGTGGGTCCTCATTCGTTCGATCGATCGCTTTGTTGAAGGGAGCTGCGCAGAGAGCACTTGAAAGAACCACAGCCATTCCGCCATGGTTCATGGTCCACCGCGTAGACTTTTTTAATTAATTGCATCTACATTCAAAGCATGTACACTCCACAGGAAACTGGCCTGGAGCACAATCAACTCGTATCGTCGGAGCCGAGAAGGAACAAAGACTGCTCGGTACACTGCCACTCAACTGGTTGGCACGCATAGACAACCACGTCAAAGCAGTTAACAATCCAATCTCAGAAGGAACATTTCCGCTCAATCGGTTGGCAGACAACTGCAAACTAGTCAAAGCAGTCATCAAACCAATCTCAGAGGGAATGCTTCTGCTTATCTGGTTGGTAGACAAAGACAGCCGACCCAAAGCAGTAATCAAACCAACCTCAGTGGGCACACTTCCATTCAACTGGTTGTTATCCAACCACAACTGAATCAAAGCAGTCAAGTACCCAATTTCAGAAGGAATACTGCCGCCCAATGGGTTTTCATGCAAAGCCAGCCGATTCAAAGAAGTCATCAAACCAATCTCGGTAGGCACACCACCACTCAACTTGTTGCCACGCAACCACAACCAAGTCAATGAGGTCAACAATCCAAGCTCACTTGGAATCTGACCCACCAAATTGTTGTCACCCCAATCCAAATAAGTCAATGCAGTCATGTATCCAACCTCAGTCGAAATGGTTCCATTGAGACCAGCACTCGGGCGATCAATCCTTGCTGTACTTGCAACATCGTAGGTTATGCCAAAGAGCTCAACTGTCTCTGGTGGTGTTGCCGAGGGTGGATTTGTAGTTGGATTGGGAGTGGGCTGCTTGGTTGTTGGGTTTGCTGTTGTAGGCTCAAGAGTTGTTCTTTTGGATGGAGAAATGGTTGGTCTGTTTGTAGAAGGAGCCATTGTAGGATTGCTTGTAGAGGGCTGTGTTGTTGGAATTGCTAGCACTGTACCGGTAGTTGGCTGATGTGACATGGACATGGGAACATTAGGTGCATCAGTGGATGCTGATGCCGTACAAGCCCCAGTCCCGCAAAGAATTCCTGTGATTGCCACTGCTGCCAGGGAAATAACAATAATGGCACAGAGACATCTCCGACCCGCAGTGTTTGTGTTGATGTTGTTTGTGTTGTCGGTGCTGTTGTTTGTGTTGTAATTATTATTGGTATTGTTATCGTTGACAGCATCAGTCTTGAAGTGAATAAAAGTTGGGGTCCAAATGCCCCTTCCTGGGGAATCGGGCACTGGAAGAACAGATCCTCCGGCTTCATTGTTGCCATTGTTGCCTGCTTCTTCATCTTGCTTTTCTTCTTGTTTTTCTTCTTCTTCGGGGGCGCTCCTGGCAGGAGGATCCCTGCCTCTTTCGTTTTCTTCCAGGAAAATTGGAGCACTTTCAATTTCATCTAATACCACTCGAACTGAGACGACGGGCGTGTTGGTGGCAGTTGAAGCTTGATGAGTAATGGGGGTAGCTGAAGCCACAGGAATGATGGCTGGTGTGTCATCTTGATCAGTAGAGTCGTCCGGATTAATCATCATGGTTGTGAGAGAAAACTCAAAAAGTCTTCGAATTCAGACCAGGATTCACGACAGGATTCACGACCCATGAGCCTGTCCCACAAGCAAGTGTGTCTGGCTGCTCACGAAATCCAAGTCTGAAGCCGTTCATTGAACAGCCTGTCTTCGGGTGAAAAGTTAGATAGGGTGGTACTGTACCAGGTAGAGTACTGGTAATATATATGTTTAGGTTCAAAAACAAACGGGTCTCTTTTTCGTTGTTTTACTCGAGTCCGTACATCGTGCCGGTAGGACAACAACTAACTGAGGTAAGCAGTTCTCGATCGATCGTCGGTTCCTCACTCCTGTCGAGCTTAGGGTTGCCATGCAGTAGTATCATTGTCTCAACAAACTCGAGTTGTACCAGAATGTGGATGTTCCGATTTGGTTTGCTGCGTTGCTGCGTTCAAAAAGATACCATGCAGACTGGTCTTGGCACGTGTTCCGTACCGGTACATACTTTTTCAGGTAGTTTAGGCAATTATAGGGTTATAGTCATAATTTACTATGAGATATCAATTTTAAAAATTCATTGTTTTGCCTCATCTTCCTTATCATCGTTCTACAGCTGTACAGGGTTCTTCCAGATCGTGACGGTGGTTGAAAAATATATTATCCACGTCTGAATGTTGAAGTTTCTGGATACACCAATGACAGTGCCAAAGAGTTTGAGCAACCAAGGATGGAGGCATACAAGGTGCCGATTTGCATACATACTGTGCCATCGAGACTGACAGTGCACATGCACACAGACCAGGTAAAATACTAGAATAGGATAGCAGCTGACATAAGCTCACAATAAAATCAGTGACAAACTTGAACAGGGCTTTCCAACAGTCGTCTGCTACCTTTTTTCCATTCTGCTGTGTGTGGGGATCTTTTTTCGCACAAATTTGCACCAGTCATGCCGAATCTCTCTGTCTTTCTCCCACTGCTGCTGCTGCTGCTGGTAGCTACTTTCGCAGTCACGTCCGCCTTTGTAGCGGTGCAGCTGCCACAACAGCATCAACGAACCACTGCTACTAGTACATGTAGTACTCTTTGGTCGTCGTCTGCTGTCTACCCTCAAGACGAAAAAGCGCAAACCTTACTGGAGAGTTCCGATTTTGCCATTGCACCCAATGATCTCATCGACTTGGCCAAGAAAGTTCAGTACGAAACACAAGTCGGAATTCTGGATGGTGGAGAATGCTTGGCGGACGATATTACGTTTCGTGCGGCAGTCGTGGAGATTGAGGGCAAGGAACTCTACCTGCAAGCCGTCAAGACACTCAATTTTACGTCCTTTTTCGACGTGAATGCCACCGTGTTTGGATGGCACGTCGATCCCGTACTACCGAACCGCGTGTATTACAATAGTCATACCACGGCGGTTCATTCCCAAAAACCCTTCTTTGGAGTGCAGCCAAAAGGCAAAGAACTAGTGTTGCCGCCACAACTCTATCACATGGATTTCACACCCGACGGAAAAGTACAAGAATTTGGATTCTACACGGTCGATCGCAACTATGGAAATACGGGCGGATTGGGTGGAGCATATGCCTACTTTTATGGACTGGGACGTCCTTTGCCGTATCCCGAATGTCAACCCTATCGAAAATCCTTTCGACGACGCATTTTTGATGGGCTCATTCGACTCTCGCAAGCGTTGCCAAAGAGAACCAAAAAGGAGGAGTAGCTAGTAGGTAAACCAAAAGTTGCGGTTGGAGCAAAATTAGATCGATAGTCTAGCTAGTGTGGAAGATATAAGCAATTCACAGACGTCCAAAACAAAAATCACAAAATCGTGGCCAAACAACAATCAGTTTAATGCGCGTCCGCTCAGGCGTAGTGTAGGGAACACCCCCCTTCTGTGATAGAGTCTGCAACGTCGTAGAAGTGCATCTCATGTACAGTATGAACCAATGGGGCATCTTACGGGCCAATCCTAGTCCGGGAGAGAAGCGAATATCTTTCTCTGCTGTCTGTCGCGTATCTCGGTGCCTCTATTCAGAATTTAGGCTCGAAATCGTATCAGTAGGCAGCGACTATGGATCCTCGAGTTGGGAGGATGTTGCAGCATTAATGCAGCATTAATGTAGCTAGCTAGCTCGCCTCGACTTCACGGTTCCAGATGCACCTGTTCTTTCTTGGAGCAAGGGTTCACAAATCGAACGGGGCCAGATTCCGTTCCGTTGTCTTCCATGTGAGTATTTGCCAAGCAGATTGTGTTTTCATGCAGTAGACCCGATACTTGACAGGCGCCCAGTTCTACCTCCAAATACATCACCGAGTGTCCGTTCAAAGAAGCCGTATCCACCAGTGTACGGCCTTTGGTGGACATCATGGGAGCATCGTAGACGCGGCGGCCGAAATACCAGAAAGGACCGTCAATCTTGCTGCCCAGGCCAGTCAAGACGAGGTTGATAAAGGGAGTTCCCCAGAGCAGTACTAGCAACGACAGCTCCCAAAAGTTAAACATGAGTGTCAGGTAGACAGCGTAGGCAGACGTGCTCCAAGGTTGTTGCCTTCCGTCTGGCGTCTTTTTGGTTGTCCTGAACATCATACGATGGACAACGACATTGATCAGGTACCATGACAGACTATGAATGGCAAGGGTCAAAGCCAATTGAATGACGGCAAACTGAATGTGTGGAAGAATACTAGCGTTGTCACTGTGAAGGAAGGACATGGCGTTGTAGAACTCGATCGTAGGTACAAAACTCAATGCAAGGCCAAACAAAATCGGTATTGCCGCCAAATCCACCGGCAGCTTGTCCATGACCGTCGGGAGCTCTCTGTGGGTTGCCCACTTGTCGGCATCCCCGGAAACGTCACTCGTCACTCTGGTTAGAGGAGCGATTTCTGTGTTTTGAATGTGGCAACCATTGGAAAGCACGGCCGTATGCCCCACAGTGCAGTTTTGCAATCGAATTCGTTGCGTCTTGCCACCGCTCTTGACAACAAAGTTGACGCAGGAAATCATGGATTTCTCAATCGAAATGAGGTCGACCTTGCTCGGAGGAAAGTCATAGAGCCACACCTTGCTCTCGTAATCAATGTCCAGCCCAAGGCATCGGAGAAGCAGATTGCATGTCACGGAGTTGACCAAAACCAAATCGAAAAAGGCCCGGTAGAGGTGGAAATGATAATCGGCCATCCAGTGGAATAGGCACCACATCTCGGATTCCTTGTCGACGTCTGGTTTCCGTCGTCCTACCAGGATCCACTTGAGAGGGATGGTCAGGACAAAGCCAACCAGGGTAGTAAAGGCGAGCAGGACAACGACGTGTAGGAGAGCCGCATATCGCCACTGGAGTGCAAAGAGGCTGCCAAAGACGAACTCTCCCAGCAGCACCAAGGCAGCTGTCAGGTATAGCTCCAACACAATCCAAGCAACGCGGAGCGCTCCAAGGTAAATGTGCAGTTGACTCGTTTTGTTTGCTACCGATGGTTCCGGGCCATGAAAGGCGGGACTTCCCGCGGCGGTTGTGTTGGCTGGGACTTGCGCTCCTTCAGGGACAGCAGCCAGTTTCTCAATGTGACTTGCGTGTCCGATCGTAGCACCCGGTCCAACCAGGCCCCGAACCGTGCAACCTTCTTCAATGACGACACGTCGAAATCGTAGAGTTGGACATTCGGTGTTGGCTACCTTTTCCCATTCACCAAACTTGCGACAGCGAACCGTATATTCAATGGAGACCGAAGGACCAATCTGGAGCAATTCAAACTCACGAAGAAAGGCATCCACTTGGACTGAGAGTGGCAAGGCGGCGCCCATCATGCGGTAAAAGACCCACAGCAAGGGCGTTCCTGTCAAAAAGTTGCCAGTGGTGAATTCCCAGAGATCGAGGAGCCTGTCAACATACCACCACCGCAAAAAGCTCACGGACGGAACAGCCACTTTTCGTGCCGTATAGCGTCCAACGACCAACCATTTGGATAGGACGACCATCAGGGAAAAGCAGACATGCCAAACCGGTACCGTCAAGGGGAGCAGGGCTGCTAGCCATCTCAAGTGTGAATCTTGGCAAAGCTTCACAAAATAGATGGCAGGAGCTGTGCTCAATGACAAGGTCAACAGCATGCAGGCGATTCCGATTCCTTGAAGAATTGTAGAGAGGAACATTGGCATTGGTCTATCCAACCAGCCAGTCATTGGGCCAAAGTCACTCATGTCGACGGGAAAGAAGGAACCACCGTTGGATTGGTTGAGAATAAACGTATGTAGAGAGCTCGGGGTTGGCAGTCTGATCTGAAAGTCTGGAGGGATTTCAATGGGAAATGCTTTGGCTAACTCAGTAGTGAGTTCCACCTGTTTCATGGACGACATGCCATTGGACTCCCAGGAGGAAAGTGGATCATAGTTTGGCAGCACAGTCGAGACAATCTTTTCGTACTTGTCGCTTTCGGAAAGGCCTTGCATTTCATCGGCGGCGGCAGATGACGCCGCGAGTGTGTCCGTGCTGCTGTCTTGATCATTGGCAACCTGAAAGGTTCGATCACTCGATGCAGCTTTCTCATCCGTCAGGGAGGAAGATGCCATGAGTACTTGAACCTTGTTCAAGGTTCCATCATGAAACTGTTGTCGTGTTTCTCGTCTTCTTATCTACAGTAGACAGACAGGAAAGCGGTATTTGAGTGAGTCATGAGCCTGCAACCCGCCAACATCGTTTGCACCGAGAGCCTACCTTTCCCGAAGTGGTCTTTGGGAGCGTTCTTTCTGCAATGGCGACAACGGTCCAAGGAGTGATACCAATCTCTCGCGCAATAGAGTCTTTGACGGTTTGGCAGATTGACTTGGCATCCTTTTCGTGGTTCTTTCGTATTTCAAAGACCACCACGACATCTCCATCCTCCCCCGAGTCGTTGGAAGAGAAAGATGCTACACAGCCTGGTCGGACCCCTGGTGAGGCATTCTGGCAACAGTACTCAATATCCTGAGGATAGTAGTTCGTTCCATTGATGATGATCAAGTCTTTGATGCGCCCGCAGATGTAGAACAGGTCGTTATCAAAAAAGCCCAAATCACCAGTGCGCAAAAAGGTTTTGTCGGCTGCGGTTATTGCGTCCCCTTGTTCTTCATCTACCTGCAGCTTTGCTTGAAAGACCTGCCGAGACAGTTCAGGCTTTCCATGATAACCCGCTGCCACACTGGGCCCACTTATCCAGACTTCTCCCGTGACTCCATCCTCCACCTGAGTGCAGGTTGTTGGATCCACAATGATGATTCCCAAGTGCTCTGCCAACATGTCGCGTTCCCCAATGGCCACAAAAGGCTGTCTATCCTCTTCACGGTTTGAAAGATGGAATCCATTGCAAAAGCAGACGCCAACAACATTCTCCGCCAAACCGTAGCCTGCCGAGAAGTAATCTTTCCTCAAGCCATACTTTCCAAAGGCATCCCAAAAGGAAGATGCCGTATCTAACCGCACCGGTTCCGTCCCACATTGAAGATTGTGAATGCAAGACAAATCCAGTCCTGGCAGTATTGGGTCCGCTCCATCTGGTCGTCGTGCTTGTGCTTCTTGATACTTTCGTACACATAGTTTAAAGGCAAAGTCCGGTCCGACTCCCAGATTGACCTTGTGTTGGCTCATGAGTTCCAACCACAAAAGTGGTCGTTGGATAAACGTCAAGGGAGACATCATGTGCATTCTCCAGCCTCCGGCAAAGGGTGCAATGCTGGCGTAGATGAGACCCAAGTCATCTGTAAGGGGAGAAAGCAGCAAAGTAAGGAACCGTGAGACGGTGACGCGTTACATTGTGTGTGTGCATGTATACGTGTTGACCCATGAGCAAAGCAAACTCACGATACTGAGGCAACCAGGAAAAGCCCGAAGGACGTTGTCCCTCCTCTAGTTTTCCAACTCCTCCGCCTCGTTGGTAGTACGATTCAAATCCATTATGGACCAATGCTACATTGGCCTTCAATGCCTGGTGTGTAATCATAACACCTTTGGGTTCTCCAGTACTCCCGGAAGTATACTGCAGAAAAGCTAGATCACTGGGAGCAATGGCGGCTTCATCAAAAGACTTTGTTTTTCGGAAGGAGGGAAGAAAGGAAGTCTGGAGGATATCGGTGACCTTGTATTCCACATTGTTGGAAGGCCACAAATGCCGGCTATTGGAAAACGGGTTGAGTTGATCGGACTTTTTAAAGGCAAAGACTTTGATATCGGTCAAGATAAGAGCTGGCTGGCAGTCCTTTACCACTTTGGTCATTTTGGCCAAGGACTTGGCAAGAGGAGGACTCGGAGGATAGACTGCTTGCAGAGAGATACAATCCAATGAAAGCAAGACAGAACTGTGGGTGAGAGAATCTTCCATCGTGGTCGCTGAGAGCGGGTTATGGATAGCTAGAAATTTTCCACGGCGTGGAAAGTCCCGGAACTCGTACAGCAGTCTTCGCTAGCTGACTTACCGAGCACGGCGACAATGCCAGCCCTAAGGCAGCCCAGGAAAGCGGCAAAGAAGTGCAATCCGAAATCATAACACAAGACGACTCGTTGTCCTTTTTGCAGACCCCACTTGCGCCTCAGCTGGTAACTGATGAGACCGGCTTCATCCCACAGCTCTTGGAAGGTATATTCGTTGGTAGCCTCGCCTTTAACATTGTACCAAGTGGCAAAGGTCTCCTTGCTGTGGCGAGATACGACGGTCTGCAATTGCTGCAAGAAAGATATTTGTAGTGGCGTGTCGGCCGTTGCGGCAGTGTTTGCTGTTGGTGTAGTTGTCATCGTGTTTTGCTTTTTCGTCCTTCCAGAAAATAAATAAGCTTTGTGGAAGTTTGGGCGTCTTTGCACTTTGAACTCGATCTGCGACTCAACTCGACTCAATGACTGGTGAACTACTCCAGTCAAACAGTAGAGTTTCGCCCGATCGGTATCATGAGATCTAAATTAATTACTCTAGCTAGAGTAAGTACACGTACTAGCTAGTACTGTTATTAATAGCAGGAATGTCGCAAGTGATTACCAGTGGTAAAGAAGACGCGAAATGAAGTGGTTTATCAACTCCAGAAGCGATCTGTCAACAAAATGCTCGTACATCATAGGTTAGTTGGCCTCATCGGGAGTATATAATACCGAGCAAATACACCAGGATTCTGCACTTACCAGCGGAGTCCTTCCCTTGAACGTGGTACGCTTGGTGGTGAACTTTGCTGTAACATTACCGGTCATCATGGAACCAAAGAGCCTAAAAAAAGCTCTTCGGAACAATTAATTATAGCAGGAACAACCTTTTAAAAAGGCTTAAAGGACAGCAATAGCCTTGCCGCATCGGTTTGTAAAACTGGCTATAGAATCTCAACAAACTTCAGTTTCGACTGAACTGAGGACATCAGATGCTCTGAAGCAGCAGTCAAAAGTACTGTATAAATGGCACCAGTGCAAGGCGATTTATTTATTTCGAAAGGTAGATCCGTAGCTATTAGCCAGCCAGTCAGCGCCAGCGCCAGCGCCAGAGCAAAGAAAAGAAAAAACGAATGAGAGGAAAAGAGAGGAAAGAGACGCCACATCTCCATCTCAGCCAATTGATTACCTGCGAAGCAATGGGAAATACTAATCCAACATAGTCTATCCTTATTCTAGTAGCCATTTATTAGTGCGGTATAGAAGTTGGCATAGACAGCCACAGCCGTTCACAATCGAAGGGAAGGCAGACGAGAAGCCCCCTGGCTGAATGTGACAGACACCTCCAACCAAGTTGGGTTTGGCGTTGTGTTGCCAATCAGATGAGGTAGACTAAGAGCTGGTATGGCATACTGTATCACAGCTTCCGCTGGCTTTAATCCTTGTCTTTTCTTGGAGCTTGGAGCTTGAAGCACTTCTGTGAGGATTCGTATCTCGTCCGTTATTTCGGGTAATTGACTGCCAATCTCTAAATCCAATCTGCCGGATACTTAATCGTGCTGACCTTTCGCACGTGTAGATGAGAAGAGTTGTTAAATAAGACAGCAGCAGTGAAGTTTTCAGGGGACAGGTGTTTTTAAGCATTGCTCGGACACGGTGTTCCTTTGTATGTGTTTCCTTAATTAAGTCTGCTTAGATAGATTTCGTACCGGTGTGCCATTATAGTGGATCTTTTGTCAGAATTGTTGGCGGTCATGGCCAAATTTGTCCTTTTACATGTAGTAGACTAAGTACAGTACGGTACTGTAGCTATGGTATCCAAGTCTGGTGATGTTACAACAGTTATTTGTGTTGCAGGTGGTTTATTAGGGTTCATACAGGTCTGTTGCCGTACCGATCCTGCCAAAGATTTTTCACTTTTGCTGAACAGCGTCTCATTTCTTTCTTTCTCCATCCACCTTCACACCTATTACACCCCATAAAGCAAACTCCTCGTCTCCTTTGATTGCTTTGGTTGCTTTGATTGGTTATTAGCTACTAACATAGTAGCTGACTAGCTAGCTAGTGTTGGATACGTTACAGTTGCAGTTACGTCTTTCGGATTGCTACCCTTTGGAAACCACATTAAGCTACCGGTACAGTGCTACCCATTTTAATTAAGCTACCGGTATTTGTACCTTGTTGGTGCTTTAAAACCTGAATTTGAAGGTTGACCTCCTTGAGTTTGATTTTGACCAGCATGAGGATTTCGTTGGTGCGCTGCAAGCAGAGTGCCATCGTCTGGGTGGGTCTGTTGTCTCTGATGGTGACAGGAATGGCTTGGTACATCCACCAACATCATCCCACGCAACACGATCATTACCTCAAGATCAAGATCTTTCAGGCTGCTGAAGATACTGCTGATCCGACTGAACACGAAGTGACGACTGAAGCCAAGACCAACTTCAACAGTAGAGGTGATCAGGACCCTTTGGGCAAGGACTCTGCCGCTGTAAAGACTGCTCCCCGCAACCTTGGTGTCTTTGACAATGGAAAACTTCTTTGGTCGCACAATACACCCGTACCACCACCAATGACACCCAAAAAGGAGTTTGATGCTACGGATACAGATACACCCGAAAAACCGCAAGAAATCACCACTACTGCCAAACAGGGCGACGGAGACAAGGCATTGGCACTCGCACTCCTGTGGCAACAAAACGATCCAAATGTTGGCGTCTACACCCCAGAACGCAATCGCCAACGTCTGGCACTCGCCACCTTTTACTATGCCACGGGAGGAGACACGTGGGTGCAAAACACAAATTGGTTGGATTACACAGTCAGCGAATGTCTCTGGTACAGCAATTCACCGGTGGATCTCGTCTGCGACTCTGACGACACCAATACCTACCGACGCCTCCATTTGGACAATAACAATCTCACCGGCACGATTCCTTCCGAAACAGGAACCTTGTCCGGGTAAGTCAACCTCAACGAATTGTTTCTCTCATGAATGTCTCGTCCTTTCTTCGAATCATTCTCACCGTGATGCTCGTCCTCGAAATGACAGCCTGGAACACCTCAACATCTCCACCAACTTTATCGAAGGAGTTCTACCTTCGGATCTAGCAAACATGGTCAACCTCGTCGGCTTGCGAGTCCAAGATAATAATCTCAACGGGACCATCCCAACCGAGACTGGATCCCTCAGCAGTCTATCCTTCCTCAACGTGTCTTCGAATACCATCAGTGGAGTATTGCCCTCCGAAGTGGGACGACTAGTTGCACTGGAGCAACTTCACATTGACGATAACGAAATCGATGGTGCCGTGCCCTCGGAAACAGGAGAATTGACCAACTTGCAAGCGTTTGGCGCCAGCAACAATCGACTCACTGGCACCATCCCATTCGTCGGTGACAGTACGAATCGCATGACGGCATTGACCAATCTGCAACTGGGAGCCAACTTTTTACGAGGAACTATCCCCAGTGAAACGGGAATGATGTCCTCCTTGGAATTCTTGAACATTAGTGGCAATGAAATCAGTGGAGTGCTGCCCTCGGATGTTGGCAATCTCGTCGCGTTGCAAGATTTGGCCGTCGAAGACAATCGTTTGAATTCCACCATTCCGACCGAAATTGGACGATTGGGAACCCTCTCGCATCTTTCCGCCGGCGCCAATCAACTCACGGGAGTCTTGCCCAGTGATTTGGCCAATCTCGTGGCGTTGCGACGGTTGGATGTTGAAGACAATAACCTCAATGGAACGCTTCCTTCCGAAATCGGTACCGTCACCACCTTGGAGCATCTCAATGTCAGTGCTAATCGTGTGTCGGGAGTACTGCCCAGTGATTTTGCCAACTTGGTGGCGCTACGAGAGCTATCCGTCGATGACAATGCCATTACCGGGTCGTTGCCGCCCGAGTACGTGAGTCTACAAGAGCTACGGTCCTTGACGGCCGGGTCGAATCGAATCGAGGGCAGTATCCCCAACATTTTACCATCACAGATTCAAACGTTGGTCTTGCGCAACAATCGATTCGCTGGATCCCTGCCAACGACATTGGGCAACTTGCAGGGACTGTCCGATTTACAAGTCGATCAAAATTCCTTGGATGGATCCATCCCCGAGCAATTCAATTCCATGTCGGCACTTCGAACCTTTACTGCCAGCAACAATCGACTTTTGGGATCCATCTCGTCGCAGTTCATCTCCTTGCCTCGGCTAGAAACCCTCAACGTCGAACGGAATAGTGCCGTCGGAGGAGCAATACCTTCGGAAATTGGTCGTTCGAGTACTCTCAAATTCCTGGTCTTGAACGGAAACAGCTTTCGAACTACGATCCCCACGCAAATGGGTAATGCCTTCAATTTGAAGGATATCTTGTTGCGAGACAATGCGGTAAGTACTTTTGGTTGTCACGGTAGAGACGAGGGTCGATCGTTCATACATACATGCATCTATGGGAGAGCGGATACTGACCCAACTTTTCCCCTTGGCATTTATATTGTAGTTGACCGGGCCGATTCCGTCTGAATTGGGTAAGATTACTGGCATGAAAGGTTCACCCTCGGCTACCTCGGTGTCTCGAGAGGGAAAAGGCACTCGTCATCGTAGGCTTCAGGAAGAGGTGGCTAGTGGTCTGAGGAATCTTTGGGTCGATAACAACACAATTACAGGTACGAAACATTCTGCTTCATATAGACTTGCACTGGATTTCGTCTCGTCTCGGTTTTGGTCTTACATTTTGTTTTGCCTTCCAGGGACGATTCCTGTCGAACTCGGGAATCTGGTTAGCAGTCTCGAATCGCTTACGTTTACCGATACGGAGGTTGAAGGAGGCCTACCCCCAGCATTTTGCAATGTTGACTCGGATGTTACTGTGTTCTGTTCGGATTCTGTGGAAGCCACATCGTGCGGCTGTACGGAGCGGCAAGTCACTCCGGCTCCAACTACGCCCTCGCCAACGACAGCAACACCAACAACCGCACTGCCAACCAATCAACCCACCCCTGGGCCTACCAATCAACCCACACCAAATCCAACACCAAATCCAACACCGAATCCAACCAATCAGCCTACCCCGAGCCCCACAAATCAACCCACTCCTGCTCCAACCCCTAGCCCTACACTTGATCCCACAATGGCTCCCATTACTCTTGCTCCGTCATCTTCTCCTTCTCAATCATGTGATCAGCCACTGATGAATTTCAACTTATTCTACTATGTGTCCATGTCGGGACCCATTTCCGACTACTCCAATGCATACTTTGAAGCAGCGTTCTTCAACGCCAGTACCCGACTGGACAATTCCACCGGGTGTACACCAGCCATGCTTGGCGTTGCCGTTCAAGAACGAATCAACCAAGGACGAAGAAGACAACGTCGGCGTTTGCAAGAGGCGAGTGGGATCATAGTGTATGCCCTGAAGACACTCCAGGTACGACCCGCTACGGTACCGTTTCGATTAATGGAAGTGGAACAATCTCTCTCTCTCATTGTTTGTCTCTCTGCTGTCTGCAAATTACAGGTTAATCAAGATGACGTGTTCCAGCCAGAGTATGTGAATGCCCTCCTTATCCAACTGAATCTGATTCTATCACCAGAGAATATTATCGCTTTGGGGGTTCAAAGTTCTCTCAGCCCCTCAAGCTCCCCATCATCAGAGCCAAGCAGCTCACCAAGCAGCATACCATCTACACAACCATCTACTTCACCCTCAAAGGTGCCATCTACAAAACCATCTACATCACCCTCAAAGAGCCCATCACTGAGTCCCACGACCGATGCACCGAGCAGCCGCCCAACTACTGGACCAACCCCAGACTACAGTAGTGTGGGAAACATTGTTGCAGTGATATCTGTAGTGGACGATTCGGCAGCTTCCAACAGTGCTGCCATTGCAGCCAACTGGGCATCTTTTCGAACTCAATATCCAAGTCGGCATTTCTGTTTGTTACAGCCAAGCGGTGTGGACCAAAGTGCACTTCAGATCCCACCAGACTTTTTGTCGGACCCAAACACGATTTACTCCCAAATCGACCGTGACAATGGGAGCGTCGAATTTGCAGAAGATTGGTTTGAGCTATGCCAGCTGAGCAGATTGGCAAGCCTTGGGGTTCAACGTGTAGCAATGTTTCTGGATAACTCTGGCAGTATCAGTGACAACCAACTAAGAGAGTCGCGGGAACATTTTTTGGATCTTTTGGAGGCATCTGCTTTGGAATTGGTGCAGTTTGGTTCCTTTGAAATGGAATTATGGGTCCTTCCACATTTGAGTGACTATGCCTGTGCCTTCACAGCAGCTGGCGTTCCGTTTGCAGATTCGCAGGAACTTCGTTCTGCAATTCGAGCTGTTGAATCTGCACGGTACGATTGCACTTCAGATGTCTATGCAACTTATGGCCTGATGGATGCTTGGGATGTATCACTTGTGGACAGCTTTGATGAGGTCTTTCTTGACTATCAAGGACCAACATTTGTAAGTTGTGCATACTTGTGAGTCACTGCCATCCTATCCCCAAGCTCATTTCTTTTCCTTGCCTTGGCCGAACAAGTCACTGGACAACTGGGACACTTCTGCAGTAACATCAATGTCAGGGACATTTAGAAACGCAAATTTTCAGCAAAGTATTGCGAGCTGGACAACAGATCGAGTTGTCGCCATGACGAGGATGTTTCAAGGGTCTACATTTCGAGGAGACATTTCAGGATGGAATACGGCTGCAGTTAGCAACATGGAGTACATGGTAAGGGAGAAAGAAAACTACACAGGGCATGAAACAATCATTGTGTGCTCAGCTCCTTCTCCATAGTTTGCTGATTCTGCTTTCAATGGGGCAGGCATTATTGGCTGGGATGTTACAAAAGTTACCTCCATGCAAGGGATGTTCAACAACAACAGACGCTTCAATCAGGATATTTCATCATGGACTCCAAGCAATGTGACTGATGCCGTAGGATTGTTCTTGGGGGCAACTGCGTTTGATAAAAATCTTTGCAGTTGGAGAACCTCACTGCCCTCAGCAGCCAGCTTTGGAAGTACATTCACGTAGGTTCTTCCGCTTTGCCAGCTCCTTTTGGTGCCTTGTTCAGCCAACCTGATTTGTCTGACACGTGTACATTGTTTCCTAGTGACACTTCCTGTCCTATTGTTTTGGACCCTCGAACTGCCGGCGAAGGTCCCTTTTGTTACACCTGTGGCAGGCTAGCTTTCGCATCAAATACGGAGCTTTCGGATGCTATTCAGCTTGTTGAAGCAACGAATGGACAGCCCACCAATGGATTGTTTGATACATATGGTCCTGTGCCTGAATGGGATGTCAGCAAAATCACAGACTTCAGTTCTTTGTTTGCCAACTACCAAGGTCCCTCATACGATTTAAGTAGTTGGAACACGTCTCAAGTGTCTTCAATGTTCCGTAAGTTATCAGATTGATGCATGGACAAGTATCGTCTCGCTAATCTCAAACAATACGCCAAACATGCTTTTGTGGTGGCAGGAACATTTGCCAGTTCAGCATTCCAGCCAGTGATTGACAGTTGGGATACAAGCAAAGTAACAACCCTGTATGGAACGGTGAGTTCCAGATGTCTTCTTGAGAAGAGCAGAAATTCATGATTTATTTGCAGAACTTACCCATTGCATTGGATCACAGTTTGCATTCTCGTCATTCTCTGGGGCCATTGACAATTGGGATACGAGTAATGTGGCGTCTATGTACGAAACGGTAAGAAGACTTGAAACATCCCGAGTGGATTATGAGCAAACACGGCCATGGATCTGTTTTGCTGACAACTAACTTTTGCCCTTGCTGGCACAGTTTGCTGGGTCTGCTTTCAATGGTGATCTGTCAAGTTGGGATGTCGGCAAAGTCACAACTATGTATAGCATGTTCGGAACTTCTTCTTTTGATGGCGACATCTCCAGCTGGAATACAGAAAGTCTTCGTGATGCACAACGGATGTTCTATTTCTCCAACTTCAATCAAAATATCAATCAATGGAACATGAGCTCAGTGACCAACATTGACACCATGTTTCAAGCTGCGCCCTTCAACCAAGATGTATCTGGATGGCAGCTCCAGTCACTGAGCTCGGCAAGGAGCACTTTCTTGCAAGCCTCTTCCTTCAACCAGAACCTTTGTGCTTGGGGGGCCACATTGCCATCATCAGTACGATTCACCAGCTTCTTTTCTGATTCGCCAGTCACGTTTTCTGGTACTTCCTGTCCATCAACAGACGGCCCCTTTTCGGTTACTGCGGGGCCCTATTGCTTTTCGTGCTTCTCCACCGCAGCATTTCAAACCAACTCTGAGCTTCGAAGTGCGATTCTTGCTGCTGCTGATGCAGATTTTGCATCCACGGCATCCCCATATGCAACATATGGTCAAATTGAAGTCTGGGATGTTAGCAGGATTACTGACTTTTTTGAAATCTTCCAAGGTATTTCTTATTCAGGACCGTCAATAGATCTTACTGCATGGGACACCTCCAGTGTTACTACTCTGGACGAAGCATTTTCTTCTTCAGACTTTCAGCCTCTGATAAATGGCTGGAATGTTTCTGCCGTGACAAGCCTCTTTGAAACGGTGAGAAATGAAGCTTATTAATCTTGGTTGCCCAATTGTGGTTTTACATTGTCTAACCATTGGTACATTATGGCGCTGTCAGTTTCAATTTTCCTCTTTCTCAGGGGACCTCAGCTCATGGGACACCAGCTCTGTTGTCACTATTAATGAGATGGCTTACAGTTCCACATTCAACGCCGCAATCGGTAGCTGGAATGTTGGCAATGTCAGGGACATGCGATACACATTTTGGAATGCAAGGTGAGTAAACTTGGATTGGGACTACCTCTGTGCTTCATCGAGTCGCTGCAATTGACCCCCCACCGATCGTAATGCATTTTGGAATCAAGGTCGTTCAACCAAGACTTGTCAAGTTGGCGGCCAAGTTCTGCTACATCGGCCTTCTACCTGTTTAACGGTGCCACATTGTTCAATAGCGATCTGTCAGGCTGGAATACTTCCTCCTTCGGAAGCATTGACTACATGTTTGCAAACACCGGATCCTTCAATGGGGATGTCAGCACTTGGGATGTTTCTAGCATATTCTCCCTCTCAAACGTTTTTGCATCTGCAACCGCCTTCAATCGTGCAGTTCCATGGAATGTTGGGAACATTCGATTTATGGATTCTCTGTTTCTGGGGGCTACACGTTTCAACGGCGATATTTCTTCCTGGAATTTGGGACAAGCGACGACCCTCGATTCATTGTTCTATGGTGCCACAAGCTTCAACAGCGACATTAGTGGATGGAATGTGGATAGTATTCGTTTTGCCCAGTATCTCTTTTTTGGTGCTACAAGGTTTAACAGTGACATTAGTGGGTGGAATGTTAGGAATCTTGTGAGGAATGAGTACATGTTCAGTGGTGCTGTCGCTTTCAACCAAGACATCAGTTCATGGAATGTAACATCTTTGACAGTGATGGACTTCATGTTTCAAGATGCTACATCATTCGACCAAGATCTATCAAGGTTAGTTCTCATCAGCAAATGAAATTCAGCAACTGTTCCTCAGGACAAGTATCTCACAATTTTCGTTCACAGTTGGCAGCTCTCATCCTTAAGCTCCGGAAGAGCTGCCTTTTCTGGTGCTTCTTCCTTCAACCAAAATCTGTGCAATTGGAGGAACTTTGTACCTGCCGCAACAGACTTTACTGACTCATTCTCTGGAGGCGTTAGCACCTTTGCTGATACTGCCTGTCCCACCACAGAGGGTCCATTCTCTGCCTCTGGGGGACCATACTGTTACAATTGTGCTTCGGTTGTGGCATTTTTTGAAACTACTGAGGAACTGCGAAGTGCGATTCTCGCAGCAGATGCCACTGGATTTGATTCTTCACTGGAGCCATTTCTAACTTATGGACCAATTTCAAGCTGGGACGTCAGCAGGATCACTAGCTTTTATGAGATCTTTGAAGGCATTGGATATTCTGGTTCTCTGGATCTGAATTCCTGGGATGTTTCTAATGTCACAACTATGTTTCGAACATTTGCGGGATCTCAAGTCCAGCCAATGATGAATTCTTGGAATACTGTGGCACTGACTGACTTGACATCCACTGTGAGTTGTTACATGCATGTGCAGCATACCACACTAATGATGCAAAACCCCACATAGACTATGTTCTAACCTCTTTTCCCTTTTTTCATACTGTTATAGTTTCGAGGCTCTGCTTTCAACGGTTCACTGACAGGATGGCAAACAGGTGAAGTGCTCAGCATGTATTACATGGCTTACAGTTCATCATTCAATGGGGACATTTCAACTTGTGAGGTCAAACTTGTGCTTGGATGGCTATGGAGTTTTGATACAATTCTAACAGTGCCTCTCAATGCCTGCTTCCAACAAATTCAGGGGATGTCAGCAAAGTAACAGACTTCGCACAAATGTTTGAACGGGCCCGACTGTTCAACCAGGATCTCAGCGCTTGGGAACCGAACTCCGTTACAACTGCGAGGTTCATGTTCAATGGAGCTACAAGTTTCAACAGTGATCTTTCTGGTTTCAGTTCATCATTGCGAATAGTCGACTACATGTTTGATGGAGCGTCCATGTTCAATGGTGTCATCAGCAATTGGGATTTTTCAGGAGTAGTATCAGCCCGAGAGATGTTCTACTTTGCCTCAGCCTTCAACCAAGATATCAATACATGGAATGTGAGCTCTGTGACAAATCGTAAGTCTTTCGCGTCTATTGAAAATGGGAGCCTGGGTCAAATTACTAACGAAGTTCATCCCAACTTCCAGTTGACTACATGTTCTATGCCGCGGGGTCCTTCAACAGGGACTTGTCGGGTTGGCAGCTCCAGTCTCTGAGCTCTGCAAGATCAACTTTTTCACAAGCCTCCTCCTTCAATCAAAACCTGTGTAGTTGGCTCGATCACATCCCTGACACAGCAGTATTTACAAATACCTTTTCTTCATCAGTATTCACATTCTCTGGAACAGCTTGCCCATTAGCTGCAGGCCCGTACACTGCTTCCACAGGTCCCTATTGCTTTGTATGTCCCGGGAACGAGGCTTTCCAAACAACTGATGAACTTCGACGAGCTGTTGTTGCAGCAAATGCTGCCAACTTTAGTTCTGACGCAGATCCATTTCAAATATATGGAGCAATGCCAGACTGGGATGTGAGCATGCTCACTGACTTGGAAGGGGTTTTTTCAGGTATTGAATATCCCGCTCTTCAGCAATACAATCTAAATAATTGGGATGTCTCTTCTGTGACAAGCATGCGTGGTAAGTTATGAAGAAGTTTTGTCTTGATCTTGCTGCATGCTATAGACTGTGACTGATAGCTCAGTTGTTTGGGCCGCTGCTGTTAAGGGACTTTCTCTTCTTCCACCAATTTCAACCCAGTCATCAACAGTTGGGCCACTGGAAAGGTTACAAGCATGATTGCCACTGTAAGAATGCTCGTGTTGTTTCTAAATTGCGCACATGCTAGCCTTACCAGTATCTTGTGCATATGGATGTGGCTGCTTCCCGTTTATAGTTCTCAAGGTCCTCATTTACAGGGAGTCTCAGCAATTGGAAGACAACTGAAGTTACGACGATGGCTTTCATGGTAAACTGAGTCATTGCATGTCGTTTGTCTAGCTATCCCCCAAGCAATAATACTTGATATGAACTCATTTGTTCATGCATTCTTCCTGCAGTTTGAATCCAGTGCCTTCAATGGAGCTATCGGAAACTGGGACATTAGCAAACTAAAAGATGCAGAATCTATGTTCAGAAGTGCAACCTCCTTCAACCAGGACCTCAGCAACTGGAATCCTGTATCCCTAATCACTGGTTTCGCCATGTTTTCACAGGCTTCGATTTTCAACTCTGATTTATCCAGGTGGGTACATGATATGTATCTTTCTCACTTTGTTGTTCTTGACTCACAGGTCTTGTAACTGCTTGATGTACACTACACGGAACAGGTGGCGGCCCTCTGTACTGACGGATGGAAGGTACATGTTTTCTGGGGCCACATCTTTCATAAGTGATGTATCCAACTGGCAACCAAATTCTTTGGCTTTCAGTGACCATATGTTTGCGGGGGCGACTGTCTTTTCTTCAGACCTTCCCTGGCAGCTTCCACTTTTGATAACAACTTCATCAATGTTTCAAGGAGCTACTTCTTTCAATGGCGATGTTTCCTCGTGGGAAGTATCGTCAATAGAGTCAGCCTCATCCATGTTTTCTGGCGCCACATCTTTCAATGTTAATATTGGAGCATGGAATTTGAGTTCTGTGACAGATAGTGAGTCTTTTTCAAATGTAACCTGGAGCCTGGATCAAATTACTAACAGTGTTCCTCTCCAATTTAAAGTCGACAGCATGTTTGCCGATGCGACAGCATTTAACCAAGATTTATCTGGATGGTCATTGAGGTCGCTGAGCACAGCCAGAGCTTCTTTTGCTGGTGCCTCTAATTTTAACCAGAACCTTTGCAGTTGGCAGAGTCTCCTGCCAGAGTCTACAATATTTTCCAGTTTTTTTGGTGGCACAACTACATTTGCTGGCACGAATTGCCCAGAGACACAAGGGCCAATATCATCCAGGGCTGGTCCCTTCTGCTATATTTGCTCCACGGAAACCATACCTTTCACCACAACGCAAGAGCTGAGAAATGCCATTCTAGCTGTGGAAGCTGCCAACTTTAGCTCTACAGCCTTGCCAATCCAAGTTTTCGGTCCTGTGCCCCAGTGGGATGTCGCTGCAATCACCAACTTTGATGGAATTTTTCAAAATGTTGACTACAGCGGCATCGTGGACTTGAATGCGTGGGATGTTTCCTCGGTTACAAGCATGACTGGTAAGGTCTACTGTTTCTGTCTCTTTGCAACCCCCGGTTGCAAAAGTCAACTCACCATGATCTGTCTTTCCCTGGCAATCAAGAAACTTTCTCTTTTGCAGACTTCCAACCAATCATCAACTTGTGGAACACAGCAAAAGTTTCAAGCATGATTGAAACTGTAAGAATGAAGGATATATGAAGATTGCAGATGATAGAAAAATTAGTCAAGCTCACCTTTCCCCAATTGCTATTGGTACAGTTCTATTTTTCCTCGTTCACAGGAAACCTCGCTGGGTGGAACACTGCTGAAGTGATTACTATGGATTACATGGTGAGTTAGTGCTCAGTCGTTGGACAAATCGAAATAGATAGAGGTATACTCATTGCGTGTGACCTTTTTTATTTCCAGTTTTATTCATCCTCATTCAATGGGGACATTTCAACTTGTAAGTTCAAGTTATTGCTCATCCGCGGAGGAGTGCTGCTGCTGATAGAATTTCTAATAATGCTTGTCTTGCTTATTTATTGACTGCAGGGGACGTCAGCAAAGTTACTTCCATGAACTTTTTGTTTGCATTTGCCGATTCTTTCAACCAGGATCTATCAAACTGGCGCCCTGCTGCGCTCCTTCGGTCTTTCGGCATGTTCCAACAGGCTACACTATTTAGCAGTGATTTGGCGTCATGGCAGGTTTCTTCACTTACGGATGGACGGTACATGTTCTCAGGAGCTTCCTCTTTCAACGGCGATGTTTCCACATGGGATGTTTCTTCATTGGAATTCTCGGACTTCATGTTTGCAAGCGCTAGTGCCTTCAATGGGGACCTATCTTCCTGGACAGTTTCTGCTTTATCTTATGCAAACAACATGTTTTTTGGTGCCTCCAGTTTCAATGGCGACCTCAGCACATGGGATGTCTCTGCTCTTTTCTCCGCTGATGGGTTGTTTTCAGACGCCACAGCCTTCAACCGTGACGTCAGTACCTGGGATGTTTCTTCTCTTTTTTCAGCACGCTACATGTTTAATGGGACATCTTTCAACCAAGATCTCAGTTCATGGGATGTCTCAAATCTCAACAATGCCTTTGCAATGTTCCAGTCATCGGCTTTCAATGCTGATATCAGTGCTTGGCAGCTTTTTAGCTTACAAAATGCCGGAGCCATGTTCAAGGACGCTCCCAGTTACAACCATGACTTGTGCAGCTGGAGAAGCACATTGCAACAATCATTCATCACATTCACAGACATTTTTGTTGGGACAGCTTGTGATCAAACCGGGGATCCTGTTTCAGTTTCAGAGGGTCCGTTCTGTGCAGTGTGCACTCTACCTTTCATATCAGTTGCTCGTGATATTAATGCAAGTCAGGTTCCAAGCCAGGCTCCCAGTGTTATGCCGAGTTTAAGCAACAGCCCCAGTGGATGGCCGAGCATCAGCTCCAGTCCTAGCACCAGCACGAACCCCAGTCAAAGGCCAAGCAAAAGTCCAAGTGATGCGCCGAGCTCATCAACCACTCCCACCTTCCCCAGTGACAGCCCCAGTGGTAACCCAAGCAGAAGTGTCAGCCCAAGCGGAATGCCCAGCACCAGCTCCAGTCCTAGCACCAGCACGAACCCCAGCCAAAGGCCAAGCACAAGTCCAAGTGATGCACCCAGCTTATCAGTCAATCCCACAATCCCAACTGACAGCCCAAGCCAAAAGCCTACTGGTAGTTTCAGCCCAAGTGATGCACCCAGCCTATCAGCAGCTCCCACCATTGCAAGCAACAGCCCAAGCCAAAAACCAAGTGGCAGTTTCAGCCCAAGTGATGCACCAAGCCTATCGGCAACTCCTACACTCCCAAGTGACAGCCCAAGCCAAAAGCCCACTGTTAGTTTCAGCCCCACTGATGCACCCAGCATATCTGCCGCTCCTACTCACCCAAGCAATAGCCCTAGTGAAAACCCCAGCAGCAGCGCAAACCCCAGCGATGCACCAAGCCAATCAGTCAATCCCACAATCCCGAGTGACAGCCCAAGCCAAAAACCAAGCTTTAGTTTTAGCCCAAGTGATGTACCCAGCATGTCTGCAGCTCCGACAATCCCAGTGGGTCCAGGTGAGAGTCCTACTGAACCCCCAAGCACAAGTTTCAGCCCAAGCGACAGCCCAAGCGACAGCCCAAGTGAAGAACCTAGCATCAGTGAGAGCCCTAGTGAGATCCCAAGTAAAACCAGTCCAAGCCCCAGCAACATCCCCAGCACAAGTCCTAGCCCAAGTGACAGCCCCAGCTCCAGCAGCCGTCCCAGCTTTAGCTTCCACCCCAGCAACGACCCAAGCAAGGTGCCCAGCAACAGTCCCAGCAAGAGCCCTGCTCCCAGCAAAATGCCAAGCACTGCGCCAAGTGATATCCCTAGTTCTTCTTCCACTCCCACTCAGAATGCAAGTATTACTCCAAGCAAGAGTCCAAGCACCAGCAACTCTCCCAGTGAATCTAGCCAGGCTCCAAGTGCCCAACCCAATAAATCATCCTCTGTCATGCCCAGCCAACACCCCAGCATGAGTGTGACTCCAACCATGCAGCACAGTGATGCTCCCTCCCCTGGTTCTGGCTCTACTAGTATGCCATCCTTCTATCCCACTATCACCACAACTGATAGCACTGGCAGCGATGATGAGACTGCTGCACCTAGCACAAACCCTTCATCCGACAGCAACAGCCCTATGCCCAGCACTCTTCCATCTGCAGAACTCAGTGTGACTCCTTCCATGGATGATGCAACAACAGAGGCACCTACGGATAGTCCCTCCCAAGATGAGACTGACACGCCCAGCTTGTTGCCCAGTCTGAGACCAACCATCAGCAGCTCACCCAGCACATTTCCCACAGCTGAACCCAGCCAAGTGCCAACAAGAAGACCTACTCCATTCCCCACCCGGGATCCAGCGAATCCTCAACCAGAGACTGGAAATGCCCGACCCACGTCATAGAGGCAGAGTGGACCAGCCCGGTCCGTGCCGATCCGAGCGATCAGCGAGCTCTGTCTTTTGTTTATGTGCTGCAACACTTTTAAAAATAAAAGTAGAATGTGCGTGTTTTGGTGATGGCTGTGATATTCATCAGATCTGTTAGGAACCAAATTCTAGTTTTCTTCTATAAATTTTTAAAATGCTTCAAAAACAGCACGAGCTTGTTGTTAGTGGTCGTTTCAGTGGATGGATCACTCCGTCAGCTGCATGTTGAAACTCGCTGAACATTGCCGTTATTCAGCACCTCGAGTTCTTCTCCCTTGTCGAGCCTGTGCGCAACTAGTGGTCAGAGCTGCACCGACCTTGTTGACTTTAAGTCGATATGCCTTTTACGTGTTGCTGACCCAATCATAGTACGGTATGTGTTTTACCTCGACAGTCTATCTGCCCTAAAAGCCCTCTACCCCTTTAACCTAGCAGGTTAATTCCTCTATCCCTTTAATGGCAAATATTCTGCCTGTGGGATCCCCTTGTTTTGTGTCTGTGGGATCCCCCTCGTTTTGGTGAAGCCAGGGTATAGGGTTAAGATTAAATATAGTTGATGTCAGTTGCCGTTTGCCGCAGCGATCCAACCAACAGCTATGGATCTCGACAATCAACAAGAGCCCACAGCCATCCAACAGCCATCGATCTCGACAACAGCCATCAACCGCATATAGTAAGCTCCCTTCCACAAGCACCAGCCAGCTACTTGTATAGACAACAGCCATTGAGATTGAGATCAAACCAACCATTTGTCACGGCACCAATAACTGGGCGACCAAGCAACCATGCCTGTCAAGTATGGAACACCTGCTTACCAGAGGAAGATTGAAGCCAATCGGCGATTCAAACAGAAAAAGCAGGCACAACAAATAGACCAGGAACGGCAGGCTGAGTTGAAAGTCAAAAGAGAATTTATACAGAAGCATCGAGAACAACAATCTATAGAAGAATATGAGATTGCCAAAATAAAGGATCGAGATAGGAAACGGATCCGCCGCTTAAAGAATGAATTCTTCGATGCTGAAGCACATAATTTCAACGAAAAACAGCTCTGGATTGATCGAGCTTTGGAAATAAACAAGATAAAGGCACAGCTGAAGATGGAGCGACAAAAGCTGCAGAAGCTACGTGGCAATAAGTTTCTTGAAGGTTCAGTCCCAATACCCAAGTAGTGGACTGGATCTCGCTGAAACCCTTCCTCAGGGACAGCGGTAGTCAGGCAGTTCAGGGAGCCTTGTCGTGCCTCAGGAGTATTCCAACACCTCCAGTAGGCACCAAACCAAGGACTTGGCCCTGTCAGTCAGACGGAGGGCAGCAGAGCTCCTGCTGGCCTTTGGGCCAGCTTCCTCAGGAGCTGGGGCCCTCTTATTCAATCGTGCATGGCAGTCTGGGAACAGTACTATCTTCCTCCTCTCTTCTGCCCGGCCTCACAGGATTGGTATCAACTGTGCGGTATCAATGGGGTTACAAGCTAATCAGGATCGTCTCAATCTTTCGTACTATTTCTTAACTATGAGGAAAGGACGATCCTTTCTTGCTGCTTTGGCTGGAGTAAGCCAGCTGCGGGTGCTGGAGCTGTAGGCCAGCATAGCTGTTGGAGCTATCTCTGACGGGATCCAAAGCTCTCGCTCCTAAAAGTTATCGCTCCCCACGAGTGCGTATGGATCCGCTCTCATGGGATGCCACGATATACGATTATTTACTAACTAACTACAATACATACTCTCCCCATGACGGAACATTCATGGGCCACTCAGCATCGCTGCTAGTGGAACACAAGTGAGATTGGAGATCTCACAGTGGAGGGACTTGCATGGTTGGTCGGTTGCTGGACCAAAGGTTGGCAAAGGAGTTGCCTGCTTCATCAGCATGGCCAGACTGGGTAGGTGCCGGCGGTGCTGGTTGCTATCATAGCTGTTGTTTGTTTTTCATATGTAGACAAATATCGTGGCTTTGCCACAGGCCGATTTCAGCGGTGGCAAGCTCTCAGTGAGCGGCCTTCTTGCCCGCAATCATGTCCCTTGACGGATGGGATGGATGGGCTGTACCAGACAGGGACGTAGTCTAGTTGCCCGTCCGAAATCCAGGGGCGTCACCGGATTGGTCCATTGCATGCACTAATGCCATGGCAGCCAGCTTTGGGGTAGAAAGCATGGTGGCGGTCAGCTCTGGGAAGGCGACACCATGGCAGTCAGCTCTGGGTAGGAGACACCAAAGTGCCTTGGTCAAAGGTGCTTGCTGTGGTTGCTCCCCTGGATTCCACCAAGAGCAGAGGGATCTGCTTGGTGGGCCTCCTGGCAAATGGACTGGTGTGGTTGGACCAAGGCTGGTCTATCCAAAGACAAGGCACCTCATTGGGTACGAGTCTTGTGGCATTGGCTGTGCCATAGGTTGGTGGTTCTGTGGGAACCAGGCTGGGAACCTTGGGTGTCACTTTGGGTGATGGACCACTAGGTCTCTGCCAATGTTGGTTGTGGTGGGACCCTGTGTGCTCTGTGCCTTGAGCAGGTTGCTTGGGGTCACCACTGTGTGAGTCTGCTCATGTGCTCTTGGTGGTAGAGCTGACGAGTGGAGCCACACTTGGTCTATTTGGTTGTGCAACTGGAATGTTGTTGGCGCCAGCTCTGAAGCTGGTTGCTTACTGGCTGGAGTTTTGCCATCATGATCTCCCAGAGGTTGGATGACTACTAGGGCTGGCAAGCTCGATAATCTCCCCATCATCCAACGATGGATGGCACCAGCGAGGGCATTCAAGGGGTGGGCACTGGGCAGCTGGTGCTCGTAGCTGGGACACGCAGGGGTCGTGTGACAGGCACTCCCCACAAGCTAGCTTAGGAGATGGAGCCGTGGCTACATGGTGGTCAGCTGGTTGGTGGGCCAAGAGGGCATCAGTCAGTCGTTGCTGGATGGCAGTGGCATCTTGCTTGGAACGAGTAGCCCTGTGGCGCTGCCCTGCTTCTTTGGGCTGTGGAGCCGTTGGGTACAAATAGCGCTGTCACCAGTCGGCTTGTGGACGCCGTCAGCACTGCCCATGGCTGGCAGTGGAGTGCATTGGTCTCCCATGAATGTGGTGTCAAAGCAGGTGTAGGTGCTGTGACAGGTGGCCTAGCAGCTACCATGACCAAGCGTCCAGTTGAGCTGTCATTTGGTCCTTCAGGGCGATGACTGAGCTTCCATCTTTCGTTTGAAGGTTTCGTGGTCAGCTCTCATGTCTTGCTTGAATGATTCGTGATAAGCTCTCATGAGGTCGAGTTGTCGGCAACGGTGACCTGTTGCTGTTGAAAGCGGATCAGCATGTTTCCATGGCTGGGTATAAATGGGTTGGGTGACAACTGGAGCTGTTGGGAGACAGCTCTGAAATCTCCCCATCACCCAGCTGGTGGTTGTCCTACCGTAGGCCATGGTGCCGGCCTCTTCTCAGGTGTCGAAGGGTGTGTGTATGCGTCTGGTGGGACACTGTTGACACAGGTGTGCCGGTGTCTTCTCAAGAATTCAAAGACGGATTTGTATTCATTGGTGGTGGCACTGGTGGCTGTGTGTCCCGATACTGATGGCGGTAGGCTAGGTTGCTGTTGCCAGCTCCATCGTGGTGTGTGGGCGGGCACAGGTGTAGCTACCTTGGACTTGTTGGCCAGAGTAGAGTAGTGCCAGCCACGGTCGGATAGCCAGGGGCATAAGGGTCACTCACATCGCTGATGACACCATAGAAAGACATGGTGCCTCTTGTTACTGACAAAGAAGAGGTGTACCGGTGGAAGCACTGGTTTTCAGCTTTGTAGCAGTGCAATAAAGGCTGGCTCACTGTAATCTGGAACCACAAAGATGACCTCCAGGAACCTTGCTATGGGCCTGGAAAATTCAATCTAGGTGTAGTTGAATAAGGTAGCCAGTGTAGAGGGTCTGGAACCTGCTTCCTGAATTGCCGTGGTGCTGGAATTGGCTTGGATTTTGTGAGATTTGTGCCACAGTGGAAGCTAGCTTACTGGACAATGAATCTCCCCACAAAAGCTCCAAAATTCAAGCCGGTTACACTGATCAATTGAGGGATGGCGGTTACAGTGGTGTTGCCTAGACTCTGTCGAACCAGTCTCTTGGTCGTCTCGTGTCTCCTTGTGGCTCCGTACGGAAGATCTCGATTTCACGAGTTTTCCGAGTTTCAATGACTCGACGATGTAAAACCTTTAAAATGTGAGGGCGAATCCAGTTTACGCAAGCTGAGCCTGCTTTCGGTCGAACTTGACGTATGGAACGTACTTGTCGTATAAGTCTTTGGCGATCCAGGATCGAAAAAGAACACGTTCGTACTGACTCAGTGCACACCGAATAAGTACCGAAGCGATCGGTTGAACTTCGAAAACTGCACGGACGTTTTGATTGGCTGAGTGGCTTCCGCGAGAGCTTCTGCACTACGCTAAAAGCTAGTGTAAAGATCTTTCGAGTGTTTGAGTTTGAGAGAATGAAAGTTATAGAGAGATTAGAAAGCTATGAAAACTAATCAACGAGAGAGATCCACAATCAAAGGATCGTAGATCTGAACTCCCGCGGGGAGACTGTAGGTGAATAGAGTAGGTTGCGGTAGCAATCCTACTCGTTCCACGATCCAAAAACGGAACGCGTGGAAGATTCGTCTAGCATTCACTAGTGGCGTGGAAGTACTCCACGCTGGCTAAATATAGAGCGATGTTTCATCATCAACCTAGTATGACTAGAGCGGTCATTGAGAATTCTGTCTCCATGACTATTCGCGAAGGACTACGTCATGAGTCGAACTCAGACCCTATCTAGGATCGAGTCGCGAATAAGCTAGGAGCCGTGTATTGCATTCGCCCCCTGACAAGGGTCACGGAAGGCACGACATCAGTATGAATAAATGGCATTCTGAGATTGGATGTAGACATGTGCGTCGCACGATGGCAATCCTACAAGGGGATCAGGCCTTGTATGGGTGTAAATACTTATGTTCCAAGTCTGGTAGA